TTGTGGGTTCAGGAACAGCTGGTACGGGGAGTACAGTTTCCATTTCATGTCAAAGAAGGACTTCTGTGTCGAGGCTCTCAGGTTTATGTATCCTTGGGACCCGAGAGGGAAGAGATCCTCAAGTTATGTCATGACAGTCGGCCAGAGGGACACTTTGGCCTATTCAAGACGCTACAGTTGATTTTGCGAGACTTTTGGTGGCCAAAGATACATCGGGACGTTGAGAAATATGTGGCCACCTGTCCGGTATGTCAACGGGCCAAGCATCAAGTGGGCAAACCTGCCGGTTTACTACAACCAATGCCCACGCCAGCCAGGCCGTGGGAAATCATCTCGGCAGATTTCATCACAGATCTGCCAAAATCCAATGGAAATACCACAATCCTAGTGGTAGTGGACTTATTCACCAAGATGGCGCATTTCATCCCTTGTGCCGGCTTGCCATCGGCAAGAGAGACAGCGGATCTGTTCCTACACCATATCTTTCGTATCCACGGATTACCCAAGAGCTTTGTTACCGACCGAGGAGCACAATTTACCTCGCAGTTTTGGAAGGCGGTTCAACAATTATTGGGCATTGACGCCCGGATGTCTACCGCGCACCATCCTCAAACGGATGGCCAAACAGAGAGGGCCAACGCTACTTTGGAGCAATATCTACGATGCTATGTCAATTATCAACAAGACAACTGGTCATCCTTGCTTTCACTGGCAGAATTCTCTTATAATAACGCCACGCAGAGTTCCACCCAAGAGGCTCCATTCTTCGCCAACTATGGATACCACCCTCGCTACTACCCAACAATAATAGAGTTGGGGAATGTTCCGGCCGCAGAAGATTGGCTTCAGGAGTTAATTGCGGTACAAGAAGTTCTAAAGGCACAGCTGGAGCAAGCCAAATTGGATTACAAACGGGCTGCTGACCAACACCGGCAGGAAGGGTCGGAGATCCAGGTAGGCGGACGGGTGTGGCTGTCTACCAAACATCTCCCCCTCCAACGACCCTGCTGGAAGCTTGATGCTCGGTTTGTGAGACCTTATCGTGTGGTGGCTCGTATCAACTCAGTGACTTTCAAGTTACAACTTCCCCGGGACATGCGTATTCACCC